ATTCAAGAAGGTCACCCCATCGCTTATGAAAGTCGAAAGCTCAATAATGCCGAACGAAGATACACTGTCTCCGAGAAGGAAATGCTAGCTGTAGTCCATTGCCTATGAGTCTGGAGACAGTATCTCTTGGGCTCACAATTCATAGTGAAGACGAATAACAGCGCCATCTGCTACTTCTTCGATCAGCCAAAATTAACGGCAAAACAAGCCTGGTGGCAAGAGTCGTTGGCGGAATTCAACTTCAAATTCGAACACAAGGTAGGGAAGAGTAATCAAGTAGCTGATGCGCTGAGTCAGAAGGGCGAACATGCGGCCTGGTGCATGTTAGCTCATATTCATTCAAGTAAGATCGATGGATCGATGCGCGACATCATCAAAGAACATTTACACAAAGACCCATCGGCCAAAGCCATCGTCGAGCTAGCTAAAGCCGGGAAGACACGACAGTTTTGGGTCAAGGGAGACCTTCTAATGACTAAAGGAAACAGATTATATGTCTCAAGAATGGGAGAACGGAGAAAGAAGCTCATTCAGGAATGTCATGATACCTTATGGGCCGGACACCCTGGGTGGCAAAGAACATATTCCCTAATAAAAAAGGGGTACTTCTGGCCGAATATGCGGGACGACATCATGCAGTACACCCAGACGTGCCTCATCTGCCAACAAGACAAATTCGAGAAAGCCAAAGTCTCGGGACTCTTGGAACCTCTATCTGTGCCAACAAGGCCTTGGAAAAGTGTATCTCTGGACTTCATAACACACCTCCTAAAAGTCGGGGAATATGACGCCATCTTGGTTATCGTAGACCGGTTCTCAAAATATGCAACATTCGTCCCCACTCCCAAATTATGCTCGGCTGAACTAATAGCCACACTATTTTTCAAACACGTTGTCAAGTTATGGGGCATTCCGTCGAGCATCATCAGTGATAGGGATGGTAGATTCATTGGCACATTCTGGACCGAATTATTTGCCGTTTTGGGAACGACTTTAAACATCTCCTCGAGCTATCACCCTCAAACTGATGGACAGACGGAATGATTCAACTGTTGCTCGAAGAATACTTACGTCACTTCGTCGACGCTCGCCAGAAGAACTGGATACAACTGCTAGTCGTCGCTCAATTTTGTTTCAATTGTCAAACGAGCTCGTCTACGGGGAAGAGTCCCTTTGAAATTGTAAGTGGATGACAATCGGCCTTGCCTCATATTATTGATCATCCTTATGCAGGAAAAAATTCTCAAGCTCAAAACTTCACAAGAGAACAGAAGCAGACAACAGATATAGCTCGGGCATATTTAGAGAAAGCTTCCAAGCATATGAAGAAGTGGGCGGACAAGAAGCGTCGCCCCCTCCAATTCCGAGAAGGAGATCAAGTCCTCATCAAGTTGAGACCAGAACAGATCAAATTTTGCAGTCGAAATGACCAGAGACTAGTTCGAAAATATGAAGGCCCAGTTGAAGTCCTCAAAAAGATCTGGGCTACCTCCTACAGAGTTGCGCTACCCACATGGATGAAAATCCACCTAGTAATTCATGTGAGCAACTTGAAGCCCTATCACCCTGACCGGGACGACGACCAGCGAAATGTAATCACGAGACCGAGCATCGATCTGAAATAAAGAGACAACAAAGAAATAGAGGAGATCCTAGTCGACAGAGTTAAGAAGATAGGAAGACCTGTACGGATGATTCGCGAATTCCTTGTCAAATGGAAGAATCTCCCTATGAAGGAAACAAGTTGGGAACGCGCCGAGATCTGGACTCCGCTGCCAACCACATCGCCAGGTTTGAAAGTAGTCGGTTGATAGGGACGTCAACCAATTAGGTGGGGGAGGATGTCACGGTCATGCTCTTCCAAGGCATGTTTCCCATGGCCGCATGCCCATGACAAACCCAACCCTTCATGTCTTTTCATATTCTAGTACTTTACTTTTGTATTTCTAAGAAGTATGACGTTTCAAAAATATCATGTCTAGGTCTGTCATACATGAAATGCCTCAGAATGTACTATAGAGGGATATGACTAGTTGTCAACTTCTCCCGACCCAAGGTTATATACTGTAAGCCATTGTTATTTCTCTCTTGCTTGCTTATATAACGTCTCTTTCAAAAATCTCTCTTTCAAAAATCTCGCTTTCGAAAATCTCTCTCTCGAAAATCTCTCTCTGCCTTCGTTTTCTAAAATCTTCTCTTAAAACCGAGGCCAAAGGCTCGAGCATATGTCGTTTGGCCGTAGGCGACGCAAGAACAAATTGGCTTACCTCAATCGCAAGTCCGCTGCCATTAAAAGTGCGATTGTAACACTAAAGACTCATTTGCATTAAAATAATTAACTTCTAATAAGGTCAAGCACGAAATTTTCTCGTGGTCAAGTGTACAACTTGCCTATGATGATTAGAGTTGGAGGTGAAAAAGAGGGCCCTATTTAGATTTGAACCGATGACCCCTTAATTACACTTGCCTATGATGATTAGAGTTGGAGGTGAAAAAGAGGGCCCTATTTAGATTTGAACCGATGACCCCTTAATCTACAATCAAATGCTCTACAACTGAGCTAAAGACCCATTTGCATTACAATAATTAACTTCTAATAAGGTCAAGCACGAAATTATTTGGATTTGAACCAATGACCCCTTGATCTGCAATCAAATGCTCTACCACTGAGCTAAGGACCCATTTGCATTAAAATAATTAACTTCTAATAAGGTCAAGCACGAAATTTTCTCGTGATGACTATGATAATTTGAGTTGGAAGATGAAAAAAGAGGGGTCTATCAGATCAAATACTCTACCACTTAGCTAAGGACCCATTTACATTAAAATAATTAACTTGTAATAAAGTCAAGCATGAAATTTTCTCGTGGAGTTGGAGGTGAAAAAGAGGGTCCTATCGAGTTCGAACCGATGGCCTCTTAATTTGCAGTCAAATGCTCTACCACTGAGCTAAGGACCCATTTGCATTAAAATAATTAACTTCTAATAAGGTCAAGCACGAAATTTTCTCGTGATGACTATGATGATTTGAGTTGGAAGGTGAAAAAAGAGGGGTCTATCCGATCAAATGCTCTACCACTTAGCTAAGGACCCATTTACATTAAAATAATTAACTTGTAATAAAGTCAAGCATGAAATTTTCTCGTGGAGTTGGAAGGTGAAAAAGAGGGTCCTATCGGGTTCGAACCGATGGCCTCTTGATCTGCAGTCAAATGCTCTACCACTGAGCTAAGGACCCATTTGCATTAAAATAATTAACTTCTAATAAGGTCAAGCACGAAATTTTCTCGTGATGACTATGATGATTTGAGTTGGAAGGTGAAAAAAGAGGGGTCTATCCGATCAAATGCTCTACCACTTAGCTAAGGACCCATTTACATTAAAATAATTAACTTGTAATAAAGTCAAGCATGAAATTTTCTCGTGGAGTTGGAAGGTGAAAAAGAGGGTCCTATCGGGTTCGAACCGATGGCCTCTTGATCTGCAGTCAAATGCTCTACCACTGAGCTAAGGACTCATTTGCATTAAAATAATTAACTTCTAATAAGGTCAAGCACGAAATTTTCTCGTGGTCAAGTGTACAACTTGCCTATGATGATTAGAGTTGGAGGTGAAAAAGAGGGCCCTATTTAGATTTGAACCGATGACCCCTTAATTACACTTGCCTATGATGATTAGAGTTGGAGGTGAAAAAGAGGGCCCTATTTAGATTTGAACCGATGACCCCTTAATCTACAATCAAATGCTCTACAACTGAGCTAAAGACCCATTTGCATTACAATAATTAACTTCTAATAAGGTCAAGCACGAAATTATTTGGATTTGAACCAATGACCCCTTGATCTGCAATCAAATGCTCTACCACTGAGCTAAGGACCCATTTGCATTAAAATAATTAACTTCTAATAAGGTCAAGCACGAAATTTTCTCGTGATGACTATGATAATTTGAGTTGGAAGATGAAAAAAGAGGGGTCTATCAGATCAAATACTCTACCACTTAGCTAAGGACCCATTTACATTAAAATAATTAACTTGTAATAAAGTCAAGCATGAAATTTTCTCGTGGAGTTGGAGGTGAAAAAGAGGGTCCTATCGAGTTCGAACCGATGGCCTCTTAATTTGCAGTCAAATGCTCTACCACTGAGCTAAGGACCCATTTGCATTAAAATAATTAACTTCTAATAAGGTCAAGCACGAAATTTTCTCGTGATGACTATGATGATTTGAGTTGGAAGGTGAAAAAAGAGGGGTCTATCCGATCAAATGCTCTACCACTTAGCTAAGGACCCATTTACATTAAAATAATTAACTTGTAATAAAGTCAAGCATGAAATTTTCTCGTGGAGTTGGAAGGTGAAAAAGAGGGTCCTATCGGGTTCGAACCGATGGCCTCTTGATCTGCAGTCAAATGCTCTACCACTGAGCTAAGGACCCATTTGCATTAAAATAATTAACTTCTAATAAGGTCAAGCACGAAATTTTCTCGTGATGACTATGATGATTTGAGTTGGAAGGTGAAAAAAGAGGGGTCTATCCGATCAAATGCTCTACCACTTAGCTAAGGACCCATTTACATTAAAATAATTAACTTGTAATAAAGTCAAGCATGAAATTTTCTCGTGGAGTTGGAAGGTGAAAAAGAGGGTCCTATCGGGTTCGAACCGATGGCCTCTTGATCTGCAGTCAAATGCTCTACCACTGAGCTAAGGACCCATTTGCATTAAAATAATTAACTTCTCATAAGGTCAAGCACGAAATTTTCTCGTGATGACTATGATGATTTGAGTTGGAAGGTGAAAAAAGAGGGGTCTATCCAATCAAATGCTCTACCACTTAGCTAAGGACCCATTTACATTAAAATAATTAACTTGTAATAAAGTCAAGCATGAAATTTTCTCGTGGAGTTGGAAGGTGAAAAAGGACCCATTTACATTAAAATAATTAACTTGTAATAAAGTCAAGCATGAAATTTTCTCGTGGAGTTGGAAGGTGAAAAAGAGGGTCCTATCGGGTTCGAACCGATGGCCTCTTGATCTGCAGTCAAATGCTCTACCACTGAGCTAAGGACCCATTTGCATTAAAATAATTAACTTCTAATAAGGTCAAGCACGAAATTTTCTCGTGATGACTATGATGATTTGAGTTGGAAGGTGAAAAAGAGGGCCCTATTGAGTTCAAACGAATGACCTCTTGATCTGTAGTCAAATGCTCTACCACTTAGTTAAGAACCCATTCACATTAAAATAATTAACTTGTAATAAGGTCAAGTACGAAATTTTCTTGTGGTTAAGTGTACAACTAGCCTATGATGATTTGAGTTGGAAGGTGAAAAAAATGACCCTGACCTCTTGATCTACAGTCAAATGCTATACCACTAAGCTAAGGACCCATTTGCATTAAAATAATTAACTTCTAATAGGTTCAAGCTCTACAATTGAGCTAAGGACCCATGAGTGTACAATTAGCGTTTAAATTGATGACCTCTTGACTTGCAGTCAAATACTTTACCACTGAACTAAGAACCCATTTACATTAAAATAATTAATTTCTAATAGGATCAAGCATAACATTTTCAAGTGGTTGAGTGTACGACTCGCGAATGAAAATTTGAGTTGGAAGGTGGAAAAAAGGGCCTATCAAGGGCTGTTTTTAACATTGAGCTAAGAACCCATTTGCATTAAAATAATTAACTTCTAATCCGGTGAAACATAACATTTTTTTTGTGGTTGAGTGTACGATTAGCCAATGATAATTTGAGTTAAAAGGTGAAAACAATGGTCTTACCAAACCAAGTTCAAACCGGTGAGTGTGGTAGAGAAAAAAAAAAAAAAATCGGATAACCTCTTAATTTGCAAGCAAATGCTCTACCACTAAGTTAAGGACTCATTTACATTAATATACTAGAGTCATAAAATAATCAACCACTAATAGGGTCTAGCATTACATTTTCTCGTGGTTAAATGTAACTACGATCATTTGAGTTGTACCAATTATTTGGTGAAAATAAGTATAGAGACATAATTCTATTTAGAGGTCATTTAGGTCATTAAAACAGAGTAACAGGTTCATTAGGGGCATTTTTGTTATTTCTAACTATAACAAAAAATTGAGGCTCTAAACATGCTCGTAATCCTTTCAAATTAAGCATACATCATCAAAGCAGACTATACTATTATAGTACAAAATTTCATTGTTAATTTAATCAAATACTCGTTTTCTAGGTTTTATTAGATCATACCAGCACCAATTGTGGCTACTTATTGATTCTATTGTATTCAGTAGCTTAGTTTGTGTCCTTCTAAAGCTCAAAGTTCCTCAATTTTTTTTTTGTGAAGATCCTTTATTGAGTTAAGTATTAAAAAACGTTGCTAAATCGATAGGAACGAAATAAAAGGGGAGTCATTTAAGTAAAGCTTAAAGGTGGTTTAGTTGAACTGACACATGGACTCATTCTTAATGGCATGACAGAGTGAACTACTATGAACGATAAAACCCCGTTTTATACTTTGTATATATAAAACAAAACGCTTGACAACAACACGGGCATTTGACCGTAGAAGAAATTGGGAGCTAGTGGGGCATAAACGCGAGCTAAAAGCTGAGTAAGCATGAGGAGAAAAAATGCAAAAAAATTATGAAAAATCGCAACTGTTCATCACTCTTCATGTATGGAAAAAGTGATATGTTGGTGCAATGAGTACATTTTCTCTGATTTTTTTATCCAACTTCAATCATGCTCATATTTTCTCTTCTTATAGGAGAGATATTTAAGGAGTTTAGAAAAATTTTGGACTTCTTAAGCACCCGAATCCGAACAAAAAATGTCACGTATATCAAGTGAGTGGTACCTCGAAACCTTGAATTTAGCTATACTCTTAGAATGCAAGAAAGTATGCAAGAAAGTACAATATAAGAAGTAGGTTATAGAAATTTGAGCATGAAATGATTTGGTTTGATACAGGTAAGAGGGCGTTAAACATTATGATTCACTTTTATTGAGGAATGAACTAACCAGTTATGATTTGACCGAAATTGAAAGCATGTCTTTAGTATGTCACAAACCATGTTATAGGAAACCTATTATAGATGTAGAATGCTCTTATGCATGTTTACTAAACATGTACGCATTGTCCTATGAACCGAAATTCATAATTAGGTATCCATGTTTAGATCCCTATGTTATATCTCTATTTCATATGTTTGTGATGTATGCGGTTATACGGGCACGATTCGAAGTTCACCAACTAACCTTTAATCGTGAACCTGATTTGATTTTCATGGGTCCAAATAACCATAGAATTGGCTTATGGTATTTTATGACTTATGACTGTACCCTGTGGGGACTACTGTGAAGTTTGCCTGTTAGCTTCCTGTAGTGAGTTTGTCACGAGCGGCAGGGGTTCACAGTTGTACTTTAAGAGTTGGTTACGATTATTGTTCATGCATGTGAGTTATGTGATTATATGGGGACGGTTAGAGATTTTTCATCTAGCTCCTAACCGTAAACCTGATGTGATTGTCAAGAGTCTGGATTAACCATAGAACTGACATATGATATTTTATAACGTGTGATTTGTGTTTTGTGGGAACTATTAGGAAAGTTTGCTAATTAGCTTTCTTTTGGTGAATCTGTCACAAGCGACAAGGGTCCACAGTTAAACCTTAGAGTTGGTTGAGCCTTAGCATGCATGAACCTTATGAGATTGATATCGAGGTCGCGTCTCGAGAACTTAGAGATATGATTATGAAAGAGACTAGTAGAAATGACTAACCACGAGACTTAGAGAACTTAACGAATATTACGAGGGTTAGAGGTCCATATAGGACCAAGAACCTAGAAAATAGAATGAGTAAACCTAGGGTCTAGCTTAGGAAACACCTATACTAGGGAACAACACCCAAATAAGAATAAGACACCGAACGTATTAACTAAGATCAATAAAACTTCATAACAAACTATGAACTAACGACAAGGTGCTTACTGAGTATATTTTATATGCTCGATCCTACTTCTTCAAGTTTCTTTCAGGTGGAACTTGATGTAGCAGTCGAGGTGGAGGCACGTGGGCTGTTGGTTGTGGAGAGTCCCGTCACACTTGAGTTTAGGTTTCCTTATAAATTTTGTATTTCATGTATTTTAAATAGTTTGACCTTGTAACTATGTTATGTTTGGGTGGTTTCCTTTTGTCTTTTGTAAAAGCAAACTTTAAATTGAATTTTAAAGTACGTGCACGAGTTTAAGTGTTCTAAATTTTACGGATTCTTTCTTTATTGTCACATTAGTGAGTAACGGTCTGTGGATCGAATCTCTCAAAAAGTGGGTCATTACACCCTATGATTTGGGATGGTGTCAAGACATGAGGGTCATGTTAATTGGAAACCAAGATGATGCTGGATGAGACGTGACATTGGATTGAGAGACCTTGACCTCAAGTAGAGCTAAGGTCGGGTCGAATGACTTGGCCTAGTGTAGAGACAAGTCAGCTATATCGTAGATGATTACTCCGACAGCATCTAGGATTCCTCGAACAATGTGATATCTCACACCGGGTAAATCCTTAACCCTTCTCCCTCTTGCTAAGACTACATAATGTTCTTGTAAATTATGGCCAGTACTAGGTATATAAGTAGTGATTTCAAATTCCGAACCATATATTGCCGTTAAAAGCAATCATATTTACCATATATTTCATTAAAATTGTGTCACATTTATACGTACTTTTAGATTGGGCCGAATTTGTTATTATTTTGTGTTAAATTGCGGATGGTCCCTATTTTCTTTCTATACGAATGGGCTGCTAATTTTACTTGAGCTGAATTCTAGGAAAGTAGTCCCTTTTCGTCCAATCTTGGGCCTCCAATTTGTCTGGGCTGCTCAAATTGGACCTTAAAGGGCCCAAATTAGTTATCTATTTATTTAATTCGGAAATGTTTTTAAATAATCTTCTTTCAATTCATAAATTATAATTCTGTAAGAAAAATCGGCGGCATTTTCATTTTGTTTGGTACAGCAGAATGTCCCTCCATCTCAGTTATCCACTCCCGATAATCCCCTGCCGGAATGGATTCCGGACCAAATCTCAGCCACCGGCGGCAAAGTCGGTCGTCTCATGCTCCGCTATCAACCGTTACTCCGCCGGAGTGAGTTCGTCTCTTTGATTTTCCTCAGTTACTCGAAATTCAAATTACTGCATTAATTGGTTTACGATTGTGTCTGTAACTGAATACACAGTGCAAAAGGCAATATACCAGTGTGATGATAGTCCCGACGGGCGTAGGAGCCGCCATTGGTGGATACGCAGGTGACGCTCTTCCGGTTGCTCGTGCCCTTGCCTCCGTCGTTGATTGCCTTATAACTCATCCTAACGTACTTCTTTCAACTTGCCTTAATATTTTGGGGTATTAAGTTTTCAATTTTTGTTTGTTTATTGTCAGAAATTGTGGCAAATTTTATTGATAAGTAGTATGATTAAACTTTCAGAGTCTTCGCTGCAAAGTAAATTATGTAATAGTTCATAGTTTTATTTTTCTTGTCACATTTGATCGGTAGCATTGTATAATTTTAGTTTTCAGAAGTCTTATAGTTACATTAATATTCTTGTTGAAATATTTGTTTTATTTAATTAAAAAAATACAAAAATAGAACAAATAAGATGTATGCATTGTATAATTTTAGTTTTCAGAAGTCTTATAGTTACATTTGATCGGTGCATGACTCGATAAATTAAGATGTATGCCTTCCCTAAAAATGTATCTGTGTTTTCACATTTGTTGGAATAATAATAAGAAGAAGAATTCTCCTCCTCTCACTTTTGTCTGTGTATAAAAGATATGCTTTTATTTGACTTGAGGAATTTTCTTTAGGTGCTTAATGCAGCTATGCTTTACTGGCCTATGTCCAATGTGCTGTATGTTGAAGGCTATGCACTAGATCGGTTTGCAGAAGGTTCATGGGCCCTACAGCCTGTTCACCAGAATCGGGTATATGTTAATTCATGTGCTTATCTTTTCCTTGAACCAGTTGTCATATGTCATATTTTGCCAGGCCTAGTGGTGTGCCTCAGTGACTTCCCTGCAACATGATAATGTATTTGTAGAGTTGAATGAATCAGGTAGGATTGGTTCTTGATGCTGGAATGGAGGAAGAGCTTCGAATTCGTCACTTGCAAGTGGCTGATGCTGCTAGGGCCTCGCTTGGGTTGCCTGTGATGGAATATGTTGTCACAGAGACACCTTTAATGGTACTATTTTCTTGCCCACATGAGATATCTAATTTAACTTGGCTTATTCACGCCTACAGAGTACCTAAAGCCAAATAATATATATAGTTTGAATTTCATTAGCTGGTTAGTTTTGACCACGATGAACACTAAATAGCTTATGGTTGTGCTTCCAGATTTGAGATCAGATCTGTCTGCCTTGAGAGGAAGAATTACAAATTTTCTTGATGTATGATTATAAAAGTTGAGATGGCTTGTTTGATAGGTAGAGAAGTGGATTGATCCAAAAACTGGGCAATCAACTGGGAGGATTAGACACCCTGCTTCACTGCTGAGAGCTGTGCAGGCATTGATGAAACGATCAAAGGTGAATGCAGTTGCAGTTGTTGGACGATTCCCAGATGATGATGTTGAAGAGACGGATAATTATCGACAAGGGATGGTAATGAAAATTCCTCAGTTACTCCATTTCTTGTTATTCTTCATTCAGGTCATAACTGTTTCACTGCTTCTACTGGTGAACTTTTGTGAGCTATTGAGGATACTCTTTGGTGTATCTTTCTATGAATTAGACCATATATGTTATGACTCTGCAGTCTGCATACAGTTGTAGAAACCGTTCATATGCTCTGAAATTGTAGTTAGAATTGGTATTATTTCAAAGACAAGCCCTCCAGTTAAATTTTACCCTTTGACTTGATAAAACTATATATGAATTTAAATATTTTATGCGTCTTCATGTGATTGTTTTTGGTAACGCAATGCTCAAGTATGCAATTTAAGGAGAAGTTCTGAGATGTGTACGTACTTGATTGTCTATCTACTAGTATCTAATATTTTGCAATCTGTCGCTTGAAGGGAGTCGATACTTTGTCCGGGGTTGAGGCTATTATCAGCCATCTTGTGGTGAAGGAGTTTCAGATTCCATGTGCTCATGCTCCTGCTTTATCGCCTACTCCCGTATGCAAATCTCTATCTCCAAAATCAGCAGCAGAGGAGGTTAGTAATACTCTGGACTTATCCTCCCTGTTATTGTGTGTGATGGACTTTAAATTTTGGGGGAAATGGTTCTTTTTCTGATATTTTGAAAGGAAAGAAAAGAAGCGGTTAGTTGAAGACAAGGAGGAAGTTATTAACTCCAATTTGAAATTTTTGAAACAAAGATTTTGTTCTTGTTGGCGATACTTCTACTTGCTAGTTAAAATACTTTACGTGCTGAAGATACCTCCACAAGATTATGACATGGCTTTCCACAAGACTCAACAATGTTTAGGTGAAACAAGAGAGGGGCAATACGTAAGAATCACCTATTTTAACAAGAAGAAACAATGATTTGTGGGATACATTTGAGAAAAAGTAAAAGGAAAAGAAAAGTTACACAGCATACACACAAACCAAAGTTCATTTTTCTGGTAATCATTTATTAACAGCATTTGATTTGATCTTGTATGTCTACTATTAACAACATGAACGCAAATGCTTATATTCCTCAAATTTCTGTTCTTGGTGGTAAATCTGTCTCGTTCTCTCTCTCTCTCTCTCTCTCTCTCTCTCTCTCGCTCATGCTTTCATCAAGGCCTCAATTCTGTGCTGCAGTTAGGATACACATTCTTACCATGTGTACTTTCTGGGCTAAGCTATGCGCCTCAATACTTGAGCAATAGTTCTGAATCATTGGGGAAGGACTGCATATTGGCAAATGATGTCGATAGTGTCATTGTACCTATAGATGCATGTGGAGGGGATGGCGCCCTTGCCTTTGCCAGAAGCAAACAGTACAAGGTATCAAATTTGTATGCATAATACATCTTAGATGTGTAGATAGGTCTCGTACGGTCATTAACGTCATTACATTTCAGTTCTAAGAGACTGCTTCGGATTACTACTTTGACATTGACCAAGTACTTTTAACTTTGTCACAGCCACTTATTATTGCGGTTGAGGAAAATGAAACAGTTCTCAGTGATTCTCCAGAGTCACTTGGGATTGAGGCGGTACGCATTGGAATACTTGTGAACTTTTTTATCTTTTCCATTTTTCTGGTTGTTGCTGAAGAAACGGTAATTAAATCAAGCTGGAAGTTCAAGTAATGAATTTTAGTGATCTTACATCCTCCTAGAAACTTGCCAAAGTTAAAATTGAAGAGCCTTTTTAAACCTAAAACAAGCTATTATGATCTGCCTTCTATGTTGCCTGGTCGCTGTTGTGTTTTGATTAAGCATATTGTGCAGGTAAAAGTCTCAAATTATTGGGAAGCCATAGGTGTTGTTGCAGCTCACAAGGCAGGAATAGATCCTTATTCCCTGCGAAGAAATAGGATCAACAACATTCATTCCATTTCCATTACATCTCCTAATGGCCACGCAGTTTCAAGTGCCCCTCAACCATTCAACTGAGGTATCTAATCAGCGATATTGTGTATGATTATAAATGTTATTTTGTTCATCTCATAAAGCATCATTCTCTGATTCAAGATATCTAATGTGTTTGTTTGATGCACCGGTACCGTTGTTTTATTCCTTGATATGGGATATTATGATAAACAGCTAAATTTGAACTTTGTTTTGTTAAGCTTGGATTTGGAATTTGATCAGCTAAATTTGAATGTTGCTTTCTGCAGGATCTATTGGATTCACAAAGTTCCATACATATTCTACTCCTACTCACCAGGTAGAATTTGTTGGGTTAAATTATAGTTTTTGCATTCTACCCTGTGTCAGGTTTTCTTTTATTTTTATCCCTATAAGTTGAATTTTCTCAATTAGTCCTACCAATAGTAACTGAATTCAATTTTCGTAGAGAGTTTAATCTTAATAAGAAATTAGTCACATAAATTAACGTGTTCCCCTCTATAGAGACTATTAAGAAGATTTAACTAAATTGTTTGATTAAAATGAAAAACTAAGCCACATGACATAGTCAAATGTATAATTTGATCATTCTCCTTGGGTCACATAATATACCCCAAACATATTATCAAAGAAAAAACTCCCGCTTCCATTGGGGCCCCTCTGATAAGGAAATACAATTTTGGTATCGTCAAATGATTCTTTCCGTAGGAAAACCTCGAAACGTTATGACCCTGTTTTAGAAGAAAAAAAGAGATTGAATTAATTCAAAGCCCGCAAAGATACCTGACTAATGTAGGGGACTAGAAAGGTAAATACAATTTGATCATTCTCCTTGGGTCACATCAGATACTGATGAATACCCTCAAAGCAGGGGAAAAGAAAGACAGAAAGAAGACATGGATGAAAGGTATCTTTGTTTGGAAAATTTTTCTAAAGCCTTGTGTTTTTGGCAGTTTTATGGATAGAGACAACGGTGTTTACCGTAATATTTAATATGATAAATTATTATTCAGAATGATGTCTCAAAAGTTGTTTAATTATCATATCTCATCAGCAACCAAATTGGTTCATAAAATATCATATTAAGACGGTGTCAAAGTCAATCAAAATTGGATTGGGGTTTATTGTGGAAATCTGAATCATTATCTCTCTGGCATCCCAGCTGAATAAAAAAGTATTTGTTGATGGAAACATGAAAATTTCTACAATTTATAAATAAACGACGAACAGCTTCCCTTTAAGATTCTGATTTGTGTTTTTCCAAGAGAATAGAGTAAACACCTAACGTCCTTGTAGTTTTGCAATGAGCAGCGAAGTCGTTGGTGATGGCCGGCGGCGTGCTTTAGCGCTGCAACTTCTTGACCTGGTACGTGACTTTGTTCTGATGTCAGGGAGGTCCATCACCGGAGCCGGAGACGTCATGAAGAAAGACTGCACCGATCTCATTCGTCGGATTGCGCTCCTGATTCATCTGGCGGAGGAGATCACAAACTTTTGTGGTGGCTTCCGGGACAAGTTTGAGGCATTGACCGACTCTATTGCTTCTTCTTCTTCTTGTTTGGATTGCCTTTCGGAAGTGGTCGGAGCAATTCAGGCAGCAAAACGCCTTCTGTACGCTGCTATGACTTTCTCTGTATACGACGATGACGAGGGTTCTCCGACTCCGACTGTGAGTTCATCCTTATTGTTCTCTTTCTCTTTCCATTAGATTAAATTAGAATTGGAAAATTAACAGAGCTGGGTGTGGAGCTTCCATTAATGTAAGAACTCGGAACTTCTGAGTTTCAGATTTGCAGTGCAGATTTTCTTGGCTGCCAAATCGTTCTATTTGCTTTGATTTTACAGAAATTTGATTCTACGTGCTATCTACTTCTTCCTCTTCTTTTTCTTCCTTTTGCAGTCGTGACCTTTCAAAATATATTAAAAATTCTGTATTGTTTTATAATTTTTAGTTTAGAATATTAGAATTCAGCTTTCAAGCTTCAACTCATACATGAAGTTATTAAGTTATTGGCCCCTACATTTTTTTTTTTAAATTTTTATAAATGGTTTAAAAATATTATAGCTAAACTGAGCGTGAACAAAATTAAATTTTACATGTAATTAGTGAACGAGGGAAAGAAATGTCAAAAATAAAAATAACTTTTTTAAAATTCAATTCAAAAAATATTATCTACAGTCTAGTCAGCATTTGGTAATGACCATATCACCCTTATGTTAAGTCAACCACCAATTAGAAACCAAATTTAAGATAATCAGAAATAAAAATTAAATCTAAAATTTCATTAGTTTTAAAATTTTAAATATCAAATAAATATTAAATTCAAAATATTGGACTAAAAGCGTATTTTAGCAAAGAAATACCCATTCATCAATGAATATATTGTTCATGATGAGTGTGTAAAAAATGGAATTTTGCTTGTGCTCTTGGCATGCCATTGTTTGATATCTCTAGATTTGGACACTGAAATTTCTGAATCTTATCCATTAAATTAAGGAGGGAGGTACCAAAAAATTGGTTCTGCAATTCCATTACGTGACAACCAGACTAGAAACTGCACTCTCAAATCTGCCATTCGACCACTTTTGTGTAGCAGACGAAGTACAAGAACAGGTAAACATAACATCTTCATTCCTCCACTTAAGTTTCAAATCATTACCCTAATGTCTGAGAAAGTTTTTGTTTTGTTTCTTAAGGTTGATTTGGTCAGAGCTCAGCTGATGAGAGCATCAAAGAACTATGAGTCTATGTCTGACCCCATACATAAGAAGCTTGAAGCTACAGGTTCTGTAAAAGGAATGATCTTTCATGATGTCAAGACCATGTCTAGTGTTGATGATGCAGATCCAGACTCTCAGCATCGTCCTCCGAACCGCGACGATCTGATCTGTTTCGATTCGGATGAGCTAAAGAACTCGAATTCATGTTTCAACGAGTGTTCAAGTGTTCATTCTGAAATGGAAGATGTTCTATCCATCAAGAGCCAAGATGAAGTTGGGCAGCTTGATGTAATTGAAATTCCTGAGAATTTCTTTTGTCCCATTTCCCTTGAATTAATGATCGATCCTGTCATCATCTCGACCGGACAGGTACGATCACCATTGATTTGTTCCGTTCGAGAAAACAACTTTTCGGGACTGACTTAGTTATGATCATTTGTAGACATATGAAAGATCCAACATACAAAAATGGATAGACAGAGGAAATACATCATGTCCAAAGACTCAAGAGCAGCTTCAATCTCTGATCCTCACTCCAAATTTTGCTATGAGAAATTTGATCTCAGAATGGTGTGGAGAACACAATGTTAATTTAGAGAAAGGATTAACCAACAGGAAACTTAAGAAGTATAGATCATTTGAGGACGGTTGCCGAAGGATGTTACCAATCAAAACGTTGGTTCGACACCTTTCTTTGGGGTCCGTACAGGAGCAGAAGGCGGCGGTGACCGAGATCCGACAGCTATCGAAAAGCAGCTCAGATCATAGAGTTGAAATAGCAAAAGCCGGAGCAATCCCACAGCTGGTTGTCCTTTTAACTTCAGAAGATGTTGCAACACAAGAGAATGCAATTTCATGCATTTTGAACCTTTCACTTCATGAGCCAAACAAGAGACTTATAATGCTTCATGGTGCATTTTCTTACATTTCCCAAGTCCTCAAATTTGGGAGCATGGAAGGGAGAGAGTGTGCTGCTGGGACGATTTACAGCTTGTCGTTAGCCGACGAAAACAAGGCGATAATCGGGGCGTCGGGCGTGATCCCGGACCTTATAGAAATCCTCCAGATTGGGAGCCCAAGAGGGCAGAAAGATGCTGCAGGAGCTCTGTTGAATTTGTGTATGTACCAAGGGAACAAAGGCAGAGCTTTCAGGGCTGGGATTCTCAAACTATTATTGAAAATGCTCTCTGATTCAAATGGCACATTGGTTGATGACGCTCTCTATATAATGTCAGTTCTTTGCAGCCATCCGGAGGCCAAGGCTGCAATGGGGAATGCCAATTCATTGCTTGTTTTGACCAATGTTCTTAAGAAGGGGTCGTCTCGCAGCAGGGAAAATGCAGTGGCAGTTCTGCTTGCATTGTGTAAGGGAGATTGGGAGAAGCTGGAATGGTTAACCAGGCTTGGCGCGGCGGTGCCGTTGATGAAACTTTCCGAGGATGGCACGGAGAGAGCGAAACGGAAGGCTGCTTCATTGTTGGATCAACTCAGAAAATCATGAGCCAAGATCAAACAGAGTTTGTGGTGTGGTTTGAGAGCTTCACCTTCTGGCCTTTTTTTGTTTGAGAGTTGGGGTAGCTTTTGTTTGGATTCATTTACAGAAACAGAATGTGAATTGTTTTATTTTCTTTTTGAGTTTGATCATATTCAAGTCTGATTTGATATTCTCAAGTCCCTCCTTAGAGTTGGTTTAATAGGATTGGGACGTAAGCCTTATCCCAACTCTATGCTAAATAGTCACTAAGTGGCATGAAAGTTCTATTAAGCTTCCTTAATTTTATTTAGATGCCGTGGAGATTTACTAGATTTTTAAGGGCGTCTAAATGGTTTAATCCACCTTTCAAGTTTGATACTTGAGATTGGTTCATTGGGCTAATATGATCACTAGGTGCACTCATGTCTAGAACTCTAATTTCACTCATGATTGTAGGGTGATAGGTGTCACAAGAAACTTATCGAGAAGAGAGTAGGTTGTGACCCTCACGTGCCAACAAGACAAGGTGGCAACACTGTAGTGGCACCCAACTGGTCATGCGAGGTCCGAGGCAAGACAAGTGCAATGATGCGACTGAGGAAACAGAGCATTACCTAACGCACCACAGAGATGTACATGAAAAATAAGTCGAGGCGTAACAAGATAGAGGCGACGAGCATGCATGAATGTCAAAGGTAGGCTTGTTGAAGGGTTGGGTAGGGTCTCGAGTCTTAACCTCAAAAGTTGGGGTTTTGGATGAAATTTGCATATGTGGTTCTGGAGTCAAATTTGTCCATATGAAATATGAATGTTTACCAAATTTGATGAAAATTAGACACTGGACAGACACTCTATGACATCGTTTGATCGTTCGCCAAAAAGACATCTACTCGAGAAAAATTGGAAATGCCTCAAAATGTACTACATGAGGAAGCATGATCAGCTCTCCACCACCCCTACGCCCTGTGACTTAAACGAGCTACCCTATGGCACATATGTGTGTCACAACGTGGGTGAGTATTGTGGGACATGGACAGTGACACGTGTGCTGACATTGCATACCAACCTATGTTAGAGGTTAGATTATGCACCTACTATCCAGAATATATTTCGTAAATGATATAGCACGGACACGGAAGGGTCCAATGCCTTGATAGAACTCGAATAGATGAATGTTCGGGATGTTCCAATGAGATGAATGACACATGGGTCAGTTTCAATTGATATTTTCGAGCAAGTTGCGATGGCCTAATTGGCTCTAGACATGGGACGACAACACGATGCATGGATCGTTCGATGGAAACCTAGATGATTATGAGATGTGACATTGCTTACGATAGTGATAAGAATCATGGTGTTCCACAAGTTTCAACTGGATCTCTTACACGTTCCAAGGCCAAAAAGATTCAATAAGCGTTCGTTCTTCATCTACAAGACCATTTGAACCTTTGAAAGTTAATATTTGCAAGGTTGAAATGTAGCCTGGTAGCACTTGATTGATAGTTTTTTTTGAAGACTTTATTTATTATTTTAAATTCATAACTCTTGTAATAAGTAACTAAAGGGCAGTGGAATTGCCAAACTTGTTGGCCATAACTTCTATTAGAGTAGTCATTTGAAGTGGAAAGAACTTGTCAATAATGATCACCAACATCTTTTAACATGCATTTGAAGGGTTGAAGATTACTTTTACGAGCCGGCTATAAATACCCACAAAACGAGATGTAAAATGGAGGTGAATGAAAATTCTCGTAGAGTTGTATTCTTGTGTTTAGAACGCATGTTTATTGAAAGTGAACGCATGTTTTTGAAACTTTCAATCTATTCCGTTGAATTAGATGGTAGAGAGTTCAAAATCTTGAACACAGGAACAAGTTCTCCTTTCTTCTTGTTCTTCCACCATTTTGTCAAGTATATGTGAAAGGTAAATTATGTTAGAGTGATATTGGCTTAGAATAGAGGTAATATTGAGTGGGATGACTTGGCCTAGTGCAGAGGAAATTCGACTAGAGTTGTGGACGTTTGAATATGCATGCACGAGCGACGTGTGGCTAAACAAATTTGGATTCTGCACAAGTTGTGTTCGATTGGTGAAGACAAACCTTGTTTAAGGTCCAATGTAGCCACAAAGTTGGACAAAAAATGTGAATGGGGTTTGAGTTCCCCTTTAACACTTGTCATGAGTATGTCAAGATCAAGATGTCACACTGTTGAAAAAGTATGACTGTGACACTAGGTCTATTGGAAATGTTCTAACCTAGGCTAACGTGTAAACCGCTCTAGCGCTTTAATCTTAGTTTGGCTAACGTGTAAACCGCTCTAGCGCTTTAATCTTAGTTTGGTTCCTCCATGCATGCTTTACTCGGAAGATATTCCTATCGATCACTTAAAGCACGAAAAATATTATCTATTCATTTATACATGTCCAATAGGGAGACATTCCTATCAATCACCCAAAGTACAGATGACAATATCTCATCCTCCATTCTTATAGAGGAGAAAACGTTAAAATATGTATGCATCTCAATATCTCATTTTACGGATATTTTTGTAATTTTTATAACGTACTTATCATTTTCATCCAATTTGCTCATTTAGAGTCCTACTCATGCTTAATCTAACCACCAAAGGCAAGATATGCTTACATGCTAGCAAGTCTTAGCGATCTCTACAAGTATTACTAGCCTAAAGTATGTTTCGTTACTTATTGGGATGTAGCATGCCCTTCCAAATTTGCTTTTATGCTCGTTGAAGACTCCAAATTTTTTAAAATTTTTTAAAAATTCACTAGTAAGTCCTAGATCAAATAAAATTAAGGCCATCTCGAAATCATGATAGACAACAAAATCTAGCTATATTATATTATTAGTTATAATATAATTTATTTTTTTTTATAATGGAATGAAAATATATGGTTTTTTTTAATTATATATATATATATATATATATATATATATATATATATATATATATATATGACAGTCTATTCTCCCGTCAATAAAATATGAATACTAAGGTTGAATTTTTATGAAAAAGCCAAAGTCCCTTGTTAGATTTGAATCGATGACTTACGTCAAGTTGCAGTCTTTGCGTGACATGTGACACGCACGCAAAAATTGTAACAGAATCGAATTGGTCCAGACACTAGTTCAAGTTGAGGGACTCGGTATGCAAGTGGCAGCCAGGCACAGATTATTGGATCGAACATAGTCACGAGTGAGATCGAGCAAGTGATACACATCTCCTAAGGAAGCTTACATGTTGCTCAATTTGTCGCTTGACACATGGCAACCACTAGTCTCGCCATGTTCAATTGCCCCGTGCTACGTGTCGCTCCTTTACTTGCCTACGCAATAAAATTTTCAGATTTTTCATGAGTTTTCCAATCTTGTTCAATTTCTTTACAATTTCATAACTTTTTTTTTTAGAGAAAACTCGAATCAACCCGTTCCTTCAACAAAATCGTAGAGTTTTAATCCAAATTCACAAAAATATTTTTATTATAATTTTTAATCAACTACAAAATAAAATAAAACACCACTCATAATTAGCTAAAGTTAGCATTCTTACCATTCCGAGAGACTTTCTAAAATTCCTTTTTTTTGGACACGATTCCAGTCTAGATTTTTTCATGAAAAACTTGTGGAAACTTACTTAGAATAACATACTAAATTTCAAGAGTCTAATTCTATCATAAACTTAACCTTTCGTTCTTCCTCGTTTCTTGATAGAATAGTTTGATTCAAGTGCCCATAATGAGAAGAGTAGTCTCACATTGACTAACTAAACGAAAAAATATTTATAAGTAAGAAACACGTTCTTCAATTATATAACACTAATAAATTTATGAGAGATTATGCTTAAAGTGGATAACATCCCACATTATTACAAGAGTTATTGTTGTCAACAAATTAGTGGAACAAATTAGTGGAGAATGAACTAAACTTAAATTTAAGATTAAAATTGTGACACCAGATTAAAATTTGAGTCTAAAATAAAGTATAAAAAAGTGGAAGCGATGAGTATGAATGATCTGGAAGGAGTGGATAAAAATATCTAAAAGCCTAAAAAATATCTGTTCTGGCCGATCCTCCACGTCATCAAGCAAAATCGATCAAGAACCTTCCGGATCATCCACTATGTGACCCATCTTCCGTCTCTATAAATTCAGTTATTCCAATCGTGTCGCAATCCGAAGACGAAGAAATGGAGCGGCATAAACCCGGGTCGGATTCTTATTACACCATTCTAGGAGTCGGGTCGGATTGTTCCGCAGAAGAGATTCGGCGGGCTTACCGGCGGCTGGCCATGGTACCGTCGGAGATACCATTTTCCGGTAAAAGCTAGATTGAACTACAAAATGAAATGCCTAATTTTGGTTGCGTTGCGGTGCAGCGATGGCATCCGGATCGATGGGCGAGAAGAAGAGCAGCCCCTGCTTTGCTGAGCAAAGCGAAAGCCAAATTCCAGCAGATTCAACAAGCTTATTCGGGTAATTTCCATTCATTAACCAATCCAAAACTCCTGTTCTTATTGTGTTCTTGGTTGATCATATGGTTTGATTATGGAGCAGTTTTGTCGGACCAGAGGAAAAGAGCATTATACGATGCTGGCTTCTACAATGATGAAGACGATGATGATGATGAACACAATGAGGTCTCAATTTTCATTTGGGTCTTTCAAAATTTGATCTTTTCTTTTGATTCCCATTGTTGCAGTGAATAATTATAGGTGGGTCAATTGAACAGGCATTTTATGAGTTCATGCAAGAAATGGTGTCTCTAATGGCCAAAGCAAGGAGTGAGGTATGGATACATTTTTCATTTCCTTTTCCTTCCTTAATTATGCCTAACTTTTGCTACCTTTGTTTAAAGGATTGCAAGTGTGCCACTATGGAGGAGCTGCAGACAATGTTCATGGAGATGGCCCAAGGCTTTTGATTCTAGTGGGCTTCAACTCGGCCCATATTTTAGTAGTCCAATTAGGCGAAGCCCATTTTGGAAAAGGGCTTTACTTTGGGGTACTGTTGGAGCCCATTACTTTCATGGGCCTCACAAGGCCCACGTTTAAAATGCTTGTAAAAAAATGCATTTTAAGTAAATCATAATTAGGAATATTATGCTATTTCAAAAAATATATAAAAAAAATTAAATATGTATTCATTGGAGCCTCAATTTTCAACTATTTATAATTAATACAAGTTATAATTTAAAATAATAATAATAATAAATGAAGTGGGTGGTTAGTTCGAGTGCCTTCCATATTGGTCAATGTCGGTGCCCCAGCATCCACTATACCTTCCTTAAAAATGTCACTTTTTTTAATATTATATATATATATATTTTTATAATTTAAAAGGTGATACAAAAATAAAATGTAAGGTCTAGAAACTCAATATACATAATATCACCAAAATCTCATTTAATATTTGAATATTATATTCATTTCAAGACAAAATACTTTTATAGTTCACTTTACATATACATGTGCTTACCATTATTGAGAAGGAAATGTAATATTAATTTAATTCCGCGTGTTCTTGAATCTTCTCCTCCCCTTTTTATCTTTACAATGAACTTCTTGTCATGCTCCTTAAACTTTGTCTGATTTTCGATTATATATTTGTTTACTTCGTTGTCTAGGTAGCACAGGTTGATCTTCAATAAATCTTCTCTGTTTGTGAAAAAAGTTTGTCATAACGTTTCTCTTCGTTGAGCATTAACAGGTTGGACATTGTTTCAACCAATAATAGTGCGGGAACTTAGCCATATGTAAATGTATGGTTCATGAACACTTGGCCATATAATGCCCGTATTTTTTACGAGAGGAATAATTGAGTATAATTTTGTTCTTTTGAAGGTTGACATCGTCATGGGTTTATGAGATATTGTCATGGCCTCCTTTGTCGCCACATCTGCTATCACATCCATGACCATTGCTTTCATGTTGTAACTATTGCATCCCTTTGCACCTAAAAAGTAAAAATCAATTCTTTTTTCATTCGTGCAAGTTATTCCCCATGTGGGAGTAAGGTGTTTCTCTTCCTCTCTATCCCCGTAGCCACGAAGTCTCTTTTCTTAGGCTTTAAGACAACCAATGACTTCTTCAACCGACATATTTTTGAGGTCGCCAAACTGCTTGATGAAAGTAACAATCCACATGAATCTCAGGGGATGATTCAAGGACTTCTTGTCAATGAAGTTTTCCTTCACCTTGTCATCTATTGTACAAATGCCGGTGAAAATTGTCATCAACTTCATGAAAAAGTCATCCACCGACTCACTATTCTTCATTGACTCTTTTAGTACCCATATTCTTCATCTGGATAGCCTCAATATCGTTTTTCAAAGTCTACACCTTTGCTTTATTGACTCTTTCAACACCCATATGCATTGTTCACAACATTTTTCAGGTTGCCTTCCCAAATCCTTATTTGCCAACATGAGAAGCACACCTTTTGAGATTGTGGTAGATGGCAGTAAGAGTCACTTTGTCCTTGCACTCCTCAACGTCATCACCATACTCGATAGCATCCCATACGCATTGAGCATGTAAATTAACTGCATTTTTTAAGCCAACTTTGCACAGTTACTATTCTTGAGTGATAGAAAAAAATAATGATATCCTTTTATGAATCAAAAAAAATATTAGAAACAAAATAAATAATATATCTAGAAAGTTGTAATTACATTCAAGTGTTAATAATTATGCCCTTCAATTGTTGACTCTAAAAAGACCAACTAGTGTTCGATAATGGACATATAAATGCAAGGCATACCTCCAAAAGAAGACATCTATCATGTGTACACCTCAAAATTTCCCTCCCTCTAATCTGATGGTGATAGGCATCCATCCTAACACGACACAACCGAACTCATAATCAATCACATTATTAATAATATAAGATGATGGTTATCTACGCAAACTTGTGGAACATAGCCTATCAACACACTCTGATATTTAAATTAATATCAAGTTGAAATAATGTTAAATGAGTATAGAATGATTTGTGATCTTTATTATGGAAATGAGTTTTTATATTTATACTAATGTTTTATAACAGTTTTTAATTGGTCCATCTCCTAGTTGATTAGTCGACCGAGCTGACCTCCTTAGGGTGGTCGGCTCCCTCCTCAACTCGAATTCAAAGACTATCGAGAGTTGATATTAAATAATTTATTAAGAAATTGGTGAATTTATAATTTTGAAACTTTTTATAAAGTTTCTTTCATCTATATTTATTCCTTGAGAATATATTCTCTTAATACTTTTTCTTTTGGTTCATTTTCCTTATCATTACTTTTTTATTCACTTTTTTCCCATTACACCTCAAAATATATACCCTATAAGATGTAATATATGGATGGGTGAGATACAATTAAGAGGAATACTTATATATATTTGACTGCATATTCTTAAATGTTTTATGGAATATTTTTCGATCAAAGACCAAAAGTATCGAATGGGTACTTTTTGTTTTTCTCTATATAAATACTTTTTCACGAAGCCCTTCGATGTTGTTGAGGATTGTTGGGAGTGAGTCTCACATTGGCTAATTTAGAAAATGATCATGAGATTATAGGTAAATGAATAAATCTCCATTGGTAAGAAACATTTTGGGGAAGCCCAAAACACAACTAAGAGAGCTTATACTCAAAGTGGACAATATCTTACTATTGTCGAGAGTCGTGATTTCTAACATGGTATCAGAGTCATACCCTAAACTTAGCCATGACAATAGAATCTCCAAATATCAAACAAAGAATTTTGAGCCTCGAAGGTGTAGTCAAAAGTGACTGAAGTGTCGAAAAATGGTGTACTTTATTCGAGGGCTCTAGAGAAAGGAGTTGAATCTCATCTTCAATTATTTAAAAAATCTATTTATTAACGGAGTTGAAATTAAATCTCACAAAATTCAACTATCAAATAGTTATCACGGTTACAAACCTTAAATATTTTTAATTTTTTACAAAGTAAAATAGAATTGAATTGAATTGATCAGATTGACCAGCTAAAAAATGTTAATGGATAAACGAGATCAAACTTTTAATCGAAATCAAACCCAAAAAAAAAATCTAACCTAAACCAAAATAATTATTGTCATATTAACACCTCAATTATTTGGTCCAACTAATTTAATATTGATGATGGAAAGAAAAAGCAATGTGAATCAGACGGCGGTGGAGGGAGGCGGACGGTGGGGCCCCTAACATGGACTCCGAATATTCTCTCTCTTCACTCTCTCTCTCTCATAAAAGTCTTCAAAGTTCTATACAGTTTACATGCACCCATCACCTAACTCACTTCTCTCTAACCCCAAAAATGCTCCCTCTCTATTTTCTCCTCCTCCTCCTCCTCCTAATTTCCCCCTCCTCCACCACCGCCGCCAACCCCCGCCGCCTCGACGACTCCCCCGTCAAGTGTACCCCATGCGAGCAAAACCCCCCATCTCTCCCGCCGCCGATCTACCCCTCACCCCCGCCGCCGTCTCCTCCGCCTCCTGACCTCCTCCCCTACTACTCTCCCCCACCGCCCAAGAAGAAGGACCACAAGAACCCCAACTGCCCTCCGCCTCCGCCTTCCGCGTTCATGTACATAACCGGCCCTCCCGGCGACCTCTATCCCATCGATCAGAATTTTAACGCCGCCGGCCGGAGATCCACCGCCGCCGTGGTTTGGCTTCTTCTGGCCGGGCTTCTCTTGGTTTAAACCGCAGGATCTCAATCGAATTTCTCGTAAGGTAAAACGAATTGTGTACGAGATTTTTGATTTGGGAATGGTTTATAAGAATTTATATGGATCACCACCATCATCATCATTTTCTTCTCCAATAATTTTGTAATTTGTACTAAATTTTGAGTTATCCACAAATTTGTGATCAGACAACAAAATTACTGTGCTTTTGTTTATCTATTTTTCAATCAAAATAAGAAAAAATTAGGTCAGATCTTGTGTGCGATCATATGAACGGATTTGATTCAATTTAATTGCTGTCGTCCTCCAACCATATTAATTGAATTTTATTTTAATTTAATAATACTAAAATTGATTACGTTTATAGTGATTTAATTCAACAACATACCAACACCTATTTTAAAATTTTATATTAAATAGCAATAAACAACATTAATGGAAAAAATTAACCGACCTTTATTTATTTATTTATTTTTAAAATAATATAATTGAATATATAATTAAAAAGTACTATTCTATTGGTATAAAGGATGGTTCCAAAAATTAATTTGTCATCGGGCCCCACGTTTGTTAGGACGAGTCATTTTGCTTTTTTTTTTTCTTTTTTTTTTTTTAAGTTAGCTAAAAAATTTAATTAATGTAACGGTTCATATATTTAAAAAATAAAACTACGTCAAATTAAATAATAACATATTATATAATATCAAATTTTATTTATCTAATTAATTATGCAATTTTTTTTAATTAATTACTTAAAACATTGAAAGAAAAAAGTTTAAAAAGTAAGGAAGGAATAAAATAAAAATGAACGTTAATGGAATAAAGGGAGAGGGAGAGGAGGTGGCACCGGCCAAAACGTGTGGAGGGTAAAAGAGTAAATCCGAGATGTGGGGCTGACAATTGTGGTGATGACACGCGTTGGGGTTCAAATTACGAGGTGGAGTTGCGTAGTGTACTTGAAAGTGGGAACCCGATCCTGAGCCATTGGATCGGGTGTCAGAGAGTTCTTTGAGTTGGGATCTGATCAAGTGTGGGGTCAACTCTGAATTCCTAGGATGATCATCTTCGGTTTCACCAACTGCGGCCCCACTGGATTATTTTCTCCCTATAGTCTCTAATTTATTCTTACCCCTATTTTATTTCTTAATATTACACGTCATTATACACATGTCTCTTCCATCTTTCTCCTCCTCCACCTTTACTCAATCGTCAAAACTGACTTTTTTGTTTACTTGTCCTTTCGTTTCTTTCGTCAAAAGTGAAATTTGTATTTTGTTTATATATTTAAACTCGTTATATTGGTACCCTTACTTTAACTATAGTACTCGTAGCAAATCAGGTATTTGATGGTCGTTGGTCAAGGTAAGGGAGTGTTCGAGAACTTCGTGGTCATAAGAGAGTCATCTTGAGACGCGAGTCTGTCTATATATTTTGAGTCTTTTGTATTTCACATTTAAGTTGAATTTATATCCTAAACTCTTTCTCGATTTGTAATTAACTTAAACGACACTAACTTATATTGAATTTCAATTTGATTTTATTTATGGTTTGTTAGTTTTAATTTAATTTAAAATTTACCATATTTTTATATCTTATTTTATTTATTTTTCTCTTTGTCTTTCTAGTCATGGTCTAAGATTCAAAGTTCCAACCATTGAGTTGTGACAACCTAGAGGGAGTAGAAAAAAAAAAGATGAGTATAAAAGTACTTTATGTAAGCATACTTGTAGGTTCTCATCGAATTTTTATCCTGGTAGATTTTCTCGGGTTTTTCTCTAGGCTCTAGAAAGTTCGAATCTAATTCTACAACTATTTGAGCTTCTGGGAAGGCTTTAAAGTTATGAGCAATTCTCTTACAATCAAATACCTTTTTCAGGATCCTGAAGTTGTTCATCGTGTTCTAGCGCCATGGTTCTATTGGATGGTGAAACTCATCTCGAGATGAATTGACTTTTATTGTCTCATACTTAGTTAGCTTGCATAGTCAAAGTTGTGAATGACCGATATCCTAAATTGAGGTACAATCTCATCATATCTCATAGGACAATATGAAGTTTAGTCTGAATACATCTATGTAAGGTTATGTTCCACAAGAAATACCATATAGTCAACATCTAGGGGAGTGACCCGCATGCGTGCCCTGAGGCCTCTACATGCATCATATTTTATGTGATATGACTATGTGATACATGGATTACGTTGACCGGTGATGTTATGAAAAATTATGGTTGATATGTTAGTATTATATGCCATAAAAGTGATGAATGTTACCATGTATACACGTAGCATAATTAAGTTATGTTATGAAATGCTTATAGAATTAGAACCTATTTTCATATTACGTAATATGTCATGTAATATAAGTTATGGGACCTCATGCATATATGTATGTCATTTGCATCGGGATACTTCTCCTTTATGTCATGAAAGAATGAACTTCGATATTTATGTTCGCCATGATATTATGCGAGCCTTTTCAGTGATGAATGTTACCATGTATACACGTAGCATAATTAAGTTATGTTATGAAATGCTTATAGAATTAGAACCTATTTTCATATTACGTAATATGTCATGTAATATAAGTTATGGGACCTCATGCATATATGTATGTCATTTGCATCGGGATACTTCTCCTTTATGTCATGAAAGAATGAACTTCGATATTTATGTTCGCCATGATATTATGCGAGCCTTTTCAGTGATGAATGTTACCATGTATACACGTAGCATAATTAAGTTATGTTATGAAATGCTTATAGAATTAGAACCTATTTTCATATTACGTAATATGTCATGTAATATAAGTTATGGGACCTCATGCATATATGTATGTCATTTGCATCGGGATACTTCCCCTTTATGTCATGAAAGAATGAACTTCGATATTTATGTTCGCCATGATATTATGCGAGCCTTTTCTGTTATGTGGTTGTCCGACGACATGTAATACATTGTGCCCGACCAAGCCAGGCCTAGGTGGTACGTATACGAGCCGGCTTAGTGGGTTCATGTGCGCGTACATGGGTCGTGTGTGGAGAAGTATCACACATCCAACCCTATCCAGAAAAGAAAAGTACCCAAGGCCATGTAAAGTTTACGAAAGTTAGGTCTCACTCATATGTTGCATGTGTTTGCATATCTAACCCCAACAATGGGTGACATACTAAGTATTTCATAAAATACTCAAACCACGTGCTACCTACATTTTTCAGGTAAAGGCAAGACACCAATGTATGACTGAGATTATCATGGAAGTTAATAAGATGACATAGCTAGCCGTTTATGTTTTTATTTGGGTTTTTAAGTTACCTAGTTGATTATTTATTTTATCTAAATTTTTAATGTTTTCAAGAGTTATATTTAGTTCAGATTTTGAACCTTTATGTAAGTACTAGTGTTATTTACAAGGCTATTTAGGATGAATTTCCGCTTAAAAATTTATGCATGTATGGATGACGTCACTAATTAGGTTAAGAAAATTAAGAGCGTTACAGCTTGAGTTTCATATTTGAAAACCATAAGTTAGTTGTCCATGTTGTGGATCTAGTCACATTCTGATCATTGCTTATAGGTTCGAACATAGGCACAAGTTGATTGTTCTATCTCACTTGAGGCCAGCACAAATTGGTTGCACCTAAAGTCACATGCTAGTAAATTGTCTTTTAACGGTTTTAGGTTCCTTGATTTACTTTATATTTGTGTTGTGTGTGTATGGTTATCAAACAATCGCTAGTATTTTCAAAGCTAAAAATTTCTCTTACGTTTTTTAGATAAGAATAAGCATTGTAACAATTAGGGATTACTAAGAGATTGTTATCATATTTTGATCGTACTTCCACATTATATCATTTATTTACTCGGATTGTCTCGAACCTTTTATCTTGTTTGAAACTCATTATATTTATTTATTTTTTTTTTTTTGTTTCGGAACGAATTTGGATGAATGTTCTCCCCTTTGAAGGGTATCACGCATAAAGTTAGTTTATTTATTTGAAAATGTATAAATGTGTGACTAGTATGCTTTTATTTGTTCCACTTTAAAAATATTGTCAATATACCTTTAATAATAAATTGATCGGTCTAGAATTTTAGAAAGTTAGGTCATTATAATTCATTCAACCGATGATTAATTTTTTCAATTAATATTTTAGAAATATATATGAAAATTCTATGCCTTTAGATTAGCCCCAATAATTTTTATAAATATAGAAAGGATAATATATTTAACCTTTTACAGTAAAAATGAAAAAAGAATATTTTTATCTTTTAAAAAGGGGAAATATTTCTATTTTTGTTTTTTCACGGTGACTTCAAAATTGGGACAATTAATACGTAATATATCTTCGACATATTTAAATTGTTTAAAATTTAACCAATCTATTGGTTATATAAATTAATTTTTTTTGTCCAACTATTTTTAATTTTATATTTAATAAGTGTGAATTTTTTTAAAAACATGGAATAGATTGGTCCTGAACTTGAAAGGGAAAGCCCAAAGAGGACAATATCTACTACCAAAGAGGACAATATCTAGTAAATTTCATAAACTTTAAAATATTATAAACTTGAAAGGGAAAGCCCAAAGAGGACAATATCTAGTAACAGTGGCCCTCGGTCGTTACAAATGGTATTAGAGCCAGACACTGGACTATGTGCCAGTTAGGAGGCTGTTCCCCGAAGGGGGTAGACACGAGGCGGTATGCTAGTAAGGACGCTGGGCCCTGGAGGAGAGTGGATTTGGTGGGGGTCCCACATCAATTGGAGAAAGAAACGAGTGTCAGCGAGGACGCTGGGCCTTGAAGGGAGTCGATTGTGATATCCTACATTAGTTGGAGAGGAGAACGAAACACCCTATACAACGGTGTGGAAACCTTTTGCTAACAGACGCGTTCTACTAGCTATTGGTCTGGGTCGTTACAACCATGCATAATACAAAATCTTGTAAAGAACGAAAACAATAAGATTCTTATGAACATATATATGGAATAAGAAACTATTGATGAAGTTCATGAATGTTGCTGAAGCTTCATGAATCAAAGAAAATCAGTTTTCAAAAGAAGACGACAAGATTTGTAACGGGTATGAGAATAAATGGTAGGTGTAACGACTCCAATAAACATCATCAAAACAAAGAAATTTCGGAACCAAACTCTTTTTATGCTATTTCCACCGACACTAACATGATGTCTAATCTTTCCATCATCGATTTTTAAATCTCTTAATTTTCTTTCTTCCAATACTTCTTTAAGATCGATGGGAGAT